CGTGACCTGGACGTGCGCACGAGGTACGTGCGGAAGAGGAGGCCGTAGAGCCAGTCGCCCGCGTAGACGGCGAGCGGGATCGCGACGCAGGGCAGCGACACGGACTTGGGCGCGTGGAGCGCCGCGAGGAGGCCCCAGAGCACCGCGAGGTAGTGGAGCGCCTTCCGCAGCTCCCAGCGGAGCGCCGCGCGGCACGCGGCGCTCCGCATGGGCACGACGATCAGCGGCGTGAGCAGCGCGGCGACCGCGCCCGTGCGGCCCGTCTGCGACGCCCAGAGCAGCCGGGCGTTGCCCTGGCGGGCCCAGCGCGCCGCGTGGCCCGCGCCGTGCGCGACGAACGCCGCGCCGGCGACGACGCCCGCGGACGTGTGGAGCTCGTGGAGCCGGTGGAAGGGCACGTAGACGCCGACGACGGACCGCGACAGCGCGCAGACGAGGTTGTTCGCCTTGCCGAGGAAGAGGAGCATGAGGAGCGGGTAGCACAGGTACGCGAGCGTCCGCGTCGCGCCGAGGAGGCCGAGCGCGACCCAGTCCTCGGCGCAGACCGTGACGCGCGGGCAGATGTAGGGCTCGCCGCCGTTCCAGTGGAGGAGGCCCACGGGCGCCGGCGAGAAGGTCCGCACCCAGAGGTAGAGCGTGACGGCGATCGAGACGGCGGGCACGGCGCGCGTGATGAGGCGCGACGTCGAGCGCGGTTTTTACTTGGACTTGGGCGCGCGGGCCCTTATGAAGAGGCGGGACATGGCCGGCGGCGTCCCCGGCTTCCGGCGGCAGCCCCCGAAGGTGTGGCCGCGATTCGACGCGGAGGCTTCCAGCAGCAGCCCCCGAAGGTGTGGCCGCGATTCGACGAGCCGAAACTCTAAGTTGAAGGGAGAGCATTACAAGTTGATTTTGTCGGTTGGTCTTGCTCCAGAGGTGATTGTTGAGCCACTCGCGCATGCCCGTCGCCCGGGCGGACCGCCAGTTCCAGCTCGCGGCCCAGCTCCGGGTCCACCCCTGCCGCGCGGTCTGGGCCGCCGTGTCGCGCGCGGGCGCGTTCGACGCCGCGACGCAGGCGCGGGTCTGCGCGCGCGTCGCGCAGCACCCCGCCGCGGCCGCGCGCGGCGCCTGGTACTGGCGCGAGGCCGACGCGTCCAAGGTCGGGTAACACGAGCTCTCCGCC